TTAAGCGTTCGTCGTTGGTCGCATGCTAACGCGATTAGCGTTATCGCAGTTTGGCTCGCAAGTAGGCGCATACATATTGGCACATCGTCGAAAGGCATTACCACATTCTCGGAGTATTTTGAATATTCAAATGCACGGGCGCTGTGAAAGCAAAAGCTGGTCGTCGTCGAGCGGCGGCGGCGACAACGAGCGGTCGAAAGTGTTTGCACACGGCAGTTTGAAAATTGTGAACATTATCATGCGACTCGATCCCATCCTCGCAGTCTAGAGAGAGAGAGAGAGAGAGAAAGAGAGAGAGAGAGAGAGAGGATCGATACGAAGACTACAATTAACTAGATACAGTCGCGCGGGCGCCGACAGATATTTCACTAACTCGTGCGAAATATCTCGCCGACTCGGCCCTTTTTTTTCATCCCGCCCGCTCGTGCGAATTTCACCTCGTCACGTCGTGGAGCTTAGTCCCACACGAGATAATTTTTCAAAAATTATCCGTCCGCTTCGTTGAGAACACCTAGCGTTGCAAATGGACGTAAACCTGCGGAAATTTTTTTCAAAATAATGGAAGAACGCCGGGATTTTCTTTATTCCGCGTATAAATTTTTTGCATCGAGAGAAATTTTTCAACCATTTAGATATGGATTTTCGATATACGAGAGAGACGTATCTTAAAAATAAATTTAATTATTTAAAATGGCACGTTTGAAATCGACAATTTAAGCGAAAAGTGGTAAGTAAGTGACGATTATTGTTTTCTGTTTGACAATGTAATTTTTTCAACGGCAGGATATGTTTATTATGCCAATAGTGTATCGATAAAAATACAAAATAATAAAAAGTTGATATCTATAATTGCTATAAATAGTGGATTGTTATCAAACTTCTATAAGTCGCAAGTTACGAAAATGTGTATTATAAGTTAGTTGCTCACGATAAAATAATCTTAACTTTTTTTCTTTCTCAATTGAAAGTTTTTTTTGCGCTTGCAGCTTTATTCAAGATTTACTGAAATGCTTAAAAGAAATGTAAAGTTAACTTATGTAAACTTTTTATATAAAATAATTATAACAATTTTTTTTTAAATTTATATGTATAAAATATAAATTTTTTAACTTTTTATTGATGTTACATTTACATTAAATTTAAATTTGTGATAATCCAATTATTAGATCGATGCATATAAAATAACAATATTTCTATATTAATAATTCTCAGGTAATTTTCAAGAGAACAAAAATATACATGAATGTGTGAAAAAATAATTCCACAATATTTTTATTTAAAATTCACAAGGGATATTGCAGAAATATAATTATTGTCAGATTGCAGTATATGTTACATAATATCGCTGCGACAACGCTAGAATATTGCAGTTTTATAATGTCTCCGCACAACATTGCAGTACAGAATTGCGACATCTGGTTTCAATGTAGTTGAAGATTTTTATACATGAAATATATTTTTTGTTATATTCGAAGTCAAAAATCAATAACAGAAAAGCCAATAGTTTTATTCTGATTATCCTGTGGCAACAAATAACGGATAGAGGAAAAGACAATCAATTTTGCATCTGCAAGTGTTAGCTACTTGAATATATTGCGAATCTAATTTTATAATTATTATATATTAAATATTTGTTTCTGTTTAAGTGTTCTGATTAAGTCTTTATTTTATCTCGTCAGATAACTATATGTATATGTGTGTGTGTGAAATAAATGTATTAAATCAATACGTTTAAAAATAATTTGGAGCTTTGTTGGACTAGTACTGACTATCAAGATAGAAAAAATTTTCCCGACTTTAATCGCAATGCAGTTTGTTTTCTTAATAAAAACGGTACAACATGTAACTAATTTTATAATTGGGAAATATATGTATTTTGCCATTTTTTTTTTGTTTCATTATATTAATATTGAAAAAAACAAACAATTAAACTCATCGCAATATTTTTCATCTGAAAAACTGTTTCGACAATTATGGATTGACAAATAACTTTTACGCACTTTGCTACATACATCAAAAATCAAATTATAATTTTGTCATGCGCTTTTTACGAACACTCCATATGTTGTGTTATCAATTTATTTCCGGGACATAGTAAACTTCTCCATTTAATCTATCTTACGGCCATATTGACAGAATCCAGAATCCGTATACGTGTGCTTTTTTTGTATGTATATTTATATATATTTAACAATCAATAAAGGCAACATTGTATTATTCACTATCACTGACAATGCCAATCGCTATCGGTCACAGAGTCGAATGCGATATAAAGTATCGAAATTTATAAAATAGCAAAAAATTGTATTTAAAAAGATAATACTGTAAATTTTATTATAAATATGTATTATGTAAGTAAAAAACCATTGTTGGCGCAAAAAAAGTTTTCGAAATTATATAATATAATTACGACTCCATCTAATATAAAAATCTTATAAAAACTTTTGCGCTTTCACCGATCTTCCTCAAGTTCTTGTCGAAAATGAAAAATTAAAATCACCAGTTAGGAATTAAAACAAAGTGATTTCAGAACAATTAGCATTAATATATAAATAAAAGAATCTTGCTGCAAAATTCTAATATGCAAAATTTATAAAGAGGAACATTGATGAAATCAATTATTATTCGTATCTCTTAACAATTAATATTAATCTAACTTAATATTAAATATAATATGAATATAAACATATTAAAATATAATAATCTAATTTTTTTTTTAAATAATATTTAACCCAATTGTTTGATATTTTTTACATATTGATAATATTAATATATATTGGGTATTAATTACACGTTCTCTACCATGATATTAATATATATAAATGCATAATTGATACCGCGTTCTTATGATTGACGTATTGACAATTGTCAAACGTTTGTATAATAACTATTGCAATATTAAATATCTGAAATTATTAATTTAAGTACATATGTAAAACTGTAAATTGTCTGCGACGTTTCTTATTGATTCTTGCATTTACAGAAAACAACTAGTTTATCAACATGATTTTTATCAACCTGCGATTAATATCATACGATCATGATAAAAGCAAGGCTCCTGTAAAATATCCCATTTAATCGCAAATATCGACATATATATATATATATATATATATATATATATATATATATATATATATATATATATATATATATATATATATATATATATATATATATATATATATATATATATATATATATATATATATATATATATATATATATATATATATATATATATATATATATATATATATGTCGATATTTGCGATTAAATGGGATATTTTACAGGAGCCTTGCTTTTATCATGATCGTATGATATTAATCGCAGGTTGATAAAAATCATGTTGATAAACTAGTTGTTTTCTGTAAATGCAAGAATCAATAAGAAACGTCGCAGACAATTTACAGTTTTACATATGTACTTAAATTAATAATTTCAGATATTTAATATTGCAATAGTTATTATACAAACGTTTGACAATTGTCAATACGTCAATCATAAGAACGCGGTATCAATTATGCATTTATATATATTAATATCATGGTAGAGAACGTGTAATTAATACCCAATATATATTAATATTATCAATATGTAAAAAATATCAAACAATTGGGTTAAATATTCTCTGCAGATAATTATATCGTATTATATATTATTTTATATTTCACACTCAAAAAAATGTCTTGCTGATATAGGTAGATTTCTAGGTGTCACAACAAAAATTTATCGCTATTTTTTGTCATATAAAATAACAATATTTCTATATTAATAACTCTCAGGTAATTTTCAAGAGAACAAAAATATACATGAATGTGTGAAAAAATAATTCCACAATATTTTTATTTAAAAATTTTATTAAAAATTTATTTAAAAATATTTTTATTTCGAGATTTTATTTATTTATTATTAAAATTTTATTATCTGAAAACATTTAATTCTCTCTCTCCTTTCTTTTCTCTCTTTCTCTCTCTGTGTCTTCCTTTTGTAATAGCTTATCTTACAACTAAAAATTATTGGTCTTTCAATGCTTTTATTAAGGAGTAATCGATTTCAAATTGGTCAAAGAAGTCTTAAGTGGAAGACGGGTCGGAGTAGGAAATATAGCTTGGTATATCTTGTAATAGTAGCACACTGTGATCATCTTAAAATGGAGGAAAATTGCATTGAAGCAAAAAGGTTGAAGCTATCTAGTATCTCAGAAAATAATCATCGGCATGAGGATTTTATAAACGTGAACTATGAGTGCAATATAAAAAATTTTGGACTGTATTTTTTATCGATATTAAATCATCTCGAAATGTTTTTAACGTATTGGTTAGTACTGTCTATTGATTTTATATTATAAATTTAATTACGTTATATAATAAATAATTCCCGTTACATAAATAGGGAAGTATTCATTTTCTGATTTATTGTTAACTAACAATAGGCGCGCGGGTGCATGTATGAAAAGGAAACTCTTATTATTTTATCTTTGATATATATTTTTTCATTTATATATATGATTTATATTTTGTTCGACCAGGTACCTATATATTGTGCGCGCGATATATATTTTTTCACTTTCAATGAGTTTAATAAGTTTTCTTTGTGTGCAATATTCCCCGTAAGAAATTATTATAAACCTGTAGACGTTGTGAAGAGAGATACGTTATATAAGAGAAATAATAGATTCAAATTATTTTTCTACAATAAGAGCTTATTATATTATTACTTTCCATGTTAAGTCTTATATAAGACTGCAACATTAATTGCAAGTACATAAACGCAACGCATGCATAATCTTAAGTACAGCATAATTTTATCAAAGATAAATTTAACAGCATTTATAAATCAAAAAAACAATTGGTTGAAATAAGACGGAAAAAACTGATTTAAAAGCGGATTATTTTTATATATACAAAGGATTCTAAAATTTTTTTTTTTTTGTTTAA